ATACTGTTGTGCAGGCTCATACAAAAATACTAAAGCTAACCCAGCCTTAAACAGAATTACACTCGCAGAAAGCTGCGTCTTTCTAATTTTAACCTCATGGACTAGGTAAAATTACGGGCCTTTGAATTCCAGCAACATGAACTTTTTAACTGTCTGTCATGAACAAATACCCAGACTTGTTTTTAACTGCATTTTCTGGTTCCTCTCTGACAGGTTCTCATATTATACTTACATGGGGTCATACCATCTATATGATAATAATGTATGTCCTCAAACTCAGAAGGGAGCCTCCAAAATACTTAGATCTGAATGTAGATCTTCTCATCCTGCCTGCAATTACATGGAGACAGGACATACTCTTCCTTTCCTCTGTAACTCTACACATGCCATAGATAGTTGATCTGTACTACCATGAGAGTACTCAAAACACAAGTGGATCAATATCGCCACTGTAAATTTCAGTTCCTTCCAGCTGAAAGAAGTCAGCCATATACGTGAACTACCCAGATATTCAAGTCACGTAGACTTAAGTTTCTTGTTTTAGAGACCATGCCAATGATTAAGTGGCAATTAAAATATCTGAAATATGGGGAGGGAGAAGTGTTGTCAGAAACAATTTATTCTTCCTTCTTTGCTTACAAGGAAAGCACAAACGTGAATTTCTGCCAATAAAAATGTTGCAAACTATAATCTTGTTTACATTTGTTACAGCAAGATAACACAATGCTGCACATGCTGCTCTGGAAACAATTTTCATACAAATTAAAAGGTCAGCACGGAGATTTCCTCAGTACAAGTTTTGTTTACTATGGGACTTGGGTCACTAATTCATCTTTGTGAAGCAGCAGTTGCAAAACAGTTAATTTTTGGTCAGAATTAACAAATGTTATTACTGAACTACCTAAAAGTGACTAGTTGGGTAAGGCCTGGGACCAGAGCACCAAGGGACATCCACCTATATTTGTCTCTGAGACAAGAAGGTGTGGCTGGATTACAGATAAGGTTCCTGTAAAAGCTGAGTTAACTTTCGGGACAAAAGGTGAACATAAGTAAGAGCAAGATATCTGTTCAGGAAGACCACTGCCTCCTTATGTATCTTCTAAGAGACCTGCAGAGAAAGGTAGCAGAGGCAGTGAAGAAGATTAGTGTCACGACTTGCAGATAGTACTGACAACACCACCTCTGATCTGAAGAAGAGCTAAGGTAAAATCTAGTACTGGCAGTAGCGATTTGGCTACAATGGTATTCAAAGCTGGAAGAAATGACAGGGCTAGGGCTAGGATGGCACTTCAACCCAGCAAATACTAGCACAGACTAAAACCTGCTATCAGAGGGTTATGTGGTTTTATTTACATCTGGAATTAGAAGAGGGTGCTGGCCTAGAATAAAAGATAATACTGGAAATGGGTTTAGGGTTGGGGCTCAGACCAGCAGATATTGATAAACTACAGCTTAGAAAGTGCCTCCAGGTTAACATGAAAAGTGGTACTGGCTTAAAGCATCCGACTGCAGAGATCTGCGGGATAAGGAGCGAGATAATGTTATGATTAGGAGTGGAATTAGGGTTCGAGCAGACTCTGGAAGAGGTTGATAAACTGCATCATCTCGTTTCAGTATCAGGGAGGGCCACACGCTGTGATAAAGGGGCCACATGACAGGACTTCACACACCCTCCGCAAACCCAACACCGCCCAGCATGCCAGGCCTACTCTGCCTATGTCCTCTGTTGACCCAAGGCTCCTCAGCCATGTGCTGTCAATCTGGGGGACCTTATAATGGCCTTCCAGTACCTGAAGGGGGCCTACAAGAGAGATGGGGAGGGACTCTGTCAGGAAATGTAGCGATAGCATGAGGGGTAACAGTTTTAAACTGAAAGAGGGGAGATTTAGATTAGATATTAGGAGGAAATTTTTTACTGTGAGGGTGGTGAGACACTGGAACAGGTTGCCTAGAGAAGTTGTGGATGCCCCATTCCTGGAAGCGTTCAAGGCCAGGCTGGATGAGGCTTTGAGTGGGAGGTGTCCCTGCCTGTGGCAGGGAGGTTGGAACTTTATGATCTTTAAGGTCCCTTCCAACCAAAACCATTCTATGATTCTTAAAAAATTAAGTGTTTTATAACCAACATCTCCTCTCTTCATAGATGCAGTTTTAAAAACAGTGGATCTGTCTGTGCAGCAGGTTGGTCCTGCCAAGGAAATCAAAAGTCAAATCAGCCAAATATGCCAAGAAGCAGTACAAAAGCTTGTCTGTGTCTTTTCCAAACAGGAGCTTTGCCAATGATGACCTTGGCAGTACTATTTAGTACTTACCCTCTCCCCAGTTCCTGGGAATAGCTGTCCATATTACTCAGCACTTTACAGGTTAGGGGAGGGTTCAGGATTGACTGTGCCTACTTCAGATTATAGAAAAACCTGACGTATATCTGTGTGTTTTAATGATAAAATAGGCTCATACACATTAGTGATTGATGTTGAAAAATTCAGTCTTAGTGGCACAGACAGGCCTGGCACCTGACAATGACACTTTCCGAAGAAGGGGGAAACATATAATCACATTTCAAGCACAAAATCATGTTCACGCTGGAGACTATATAGTTAAAAACATTAAAAATCATTAAGTAGCACACAGCTCATCTCCACCATTTTCCAAGCTTGCAATTTAGAGAATGCAGGGTAGGCAAGAACGACAGTTGCTCAATTCAATAAGCAAACCTGCTGCGGCATTCACTACAAACTGCAGAGAAGAAAGCTCCACAGTGAGTTTTGCCAAGAGGGAATTACAATTATCGAGCCTCACGGTCACAAGACCACACACTACTGTTGTGAAACAGTCATTGGGTAAATAAGGGTGTAGCCTGCGACGCAGTTTATGACTGGGGGGGGCGGGGGGAGAAAAGAAAAAGCCACATGCAAAATACGGTCTTATCCCTGAAAAGGTAGGAAGTCAAGAAAAAAGGATCTTACAAATCCACACTGATGTCAAAAATGTGGCAGAACGATGCTGCCATTCTATTACTGTCAACACAGGAATGACACAGAGAAGGGCATAAAGGAGAGGTGCAGAGTTAAGCCTACAGCAAATAACTTAGGCACAAGCAACAGCAGCAAGAAAAGAGAATTCCAAGGGATGGAGGAGTAAAAGTTAGAAATAACAGCTGAACTTCAGTTCACTAAGGTGAAGACACAGAAGTGGTACATTTACAGAATGAAAAAAAAAAGCAAAAGATGGTAAAAGCTAAAGCCTAAGATGCTCGTTTTAAAACATATAAATAGGTAGGTACCTCAGAGTAGCAGGGATATATATTAACAAGGCAGAACCAGAAAGATGCCATTCAGCAGCGTTAACAGCTGAAACTTTACCAAACATTTTCTTATCTTTTTTGTATTTCAGAGATGTGTACCAGTGTAAACGACGGAGTTCAGAGAAGTTTTCCAAACTTATCTTTCCTTGTTTGCAGAAATCAAGTAAAGAACTTGCAAAATAATCACTTCTACAAGCCACTGCCCTCAGCTCTACATATACAAATGTCTCTTCTGCCTCTGCACTAAGCGAAACTTCATCTAATCATCCAACTTGGCTTGACCAACCAATTCACCACATTTTTGCTAAACTTGGGGGAAAGAGGATATATTGCATCTGCCCTCTACATAGGACCGTGCTGTTTGGAGTAGCTCCCACAGGGGCTTGGCAGGGTGCTGCTGGCCACTTCTAGAGGTGACTGGGTGACAGGGAGTGACGGAGGAGAAAGCACAGCAACCTTCACTCCTACCCACAGTGAGGGCACCAACTCAGTGTGGCTGGGAGTGGCAGGGGGACTGAAGGGGAGAGAACTTCATCCAACCAGGCCCTCCCCATCCCAGGGGAGCTAAAGGCCATTTCATTCATTCCTGCTGCTGAGCCCTGCTTCTCCAAGGGAGGAAGATAAAACAAAGTATTCAGCATTATTTCTGATGCAAGGAGGATACAAAAGCATCTCAAAGAAAAGTTTCTCATTCCAGTCCCCTAAGAGCTTCCCTCTTTACTGGCAACTGATCAGAAGTGGCAGGTTTTAGGGGAGTCTTGCTTCTATGTGCTAATGTGTCCTGATGTGCTATCCAGGACGCTCTTCTAGTCTCAGGTCCCACCACTACACTCTTAATTTCCGTGACACACTAAGCCTCTGGTCCGTAGATATGACTTATATTTACAAAGAAGAATTATACAGGGTTCAATCCCCGGTATAAATTAGCATACAATTTTCAAACAATTTTCCAAATTTTCAACCACTTTTCCAATAATTGGTAAACCAATTATACAAATTTTGCCAAAATCCATGCTTATTGATACCTTTGTCTGTACTAAGAGCTCATTCGGCTCTAAAACTTGTGCTGAAGACTACTCTATAGAAAATACAGGGTTAATACCTCTAAATGGCTGTTCATGGTAGCCCAGATAACATTAAAGAACCTGTTGCAATTAAAGTTCATCAGCTGTATTTCCAAATCTCACAACTTGAGTCAAGAAATGCAACCATAATGATTGTCAATGAAATACTATATCCTGCCTCACCCTGTACAAATAAGCCACTCTTAGAAAAGCAGCCCTCTGTTTCAGCAGAGGAGGGTGTCAAAGGAAGAAACTGATAAGGAATAATTAAACTAATACTGCACTAATGAAAAGGTGAATTAATTGAAATGGGCCATTAAGTATGCAAGTGTACACAAAGTAATTCAGCAGACATTACACTGGAAGGCTGACTACCCAGCACATGGAAGAAATAGAATGTGATATGAATGGCACATCCAGTGATAAAGCTGATCATGGATTTTCTGTTGCTTAATGTTACCTGTGAGATATTGCTACATGCCGTTTTTGCAAGCAAACCTTACAGAATGACCAGGGAAATCAGGTATCAGAAAATGATACAGCCAGTATCACAGTAGACAATAATACAGAAAATAGAGTTAACTTTCTCATTGCTAAAAACAGTGAAATATCATATAAACTGCCCACAACTGTACCTTCATGACATCTTTATAGGAATGAATGGCCTCAACTTCTTCTTTGTCATCATCATCATCTTCCACTCCTTCATCCAGAGCATCATATCCTTCATCTCTGCTTCCATCTGTTTCTGTGGTATTAGTCATGTGGTCAATAAGCTGCTCCAGCGGAGGACTTAATTCCCGCTCTTCATTGTCCTTCAAACCATAGTCCAGGGCTTTATATATAATAATCCCCAGTGATTCAATTACCTATAAAAGTAAAAAAAAAAAAAAAAAATTATTAATGCCATTTACATGAATGAATAGGTCAGTCTAGTAACACCCTTTTCTGGTGTTTGTATAACAAACTTAGCAACAGTGAGGGCAATAAACATCAAAATTAAGTAGAAAAAATGATCCTCTAATACCTACAGTTATACTTCAGTAATGCAGCACAGAGCATGCAAGAGCAGGTCATACCACATACCTACCACTTTCTTATTTCAAAGTTTGAAATAAAAATTTGTAATTTAATACCAAAGCAGGACCTTTTAGATTATTTTCCTTTTTTCCTTCTAATATGACAAACCTCAAAATAACATGACTCTAGACTTTGTAAGAATATATCACATGCCTGTGACCTCTTCTGGAGGAGGGCAGAAAGGGAAAGAAATTAAAAGAAAGAATAAACTGAGATGAGATGCCTCCCTCCTCCCACAAATTAATGACACTTGGAAACTGCCCTTCTGCATCTCTTCATTACCTCAGAGGTGTCTGGACACAGCTGTGGACATCCCAATATTAACTCACTGTGCACTGGGAGATCAGTCCACAAGAACTCCTTTGCCTGTTGCACAGCCAGTGGAGGCACCCATATTCCACTGACACTATCAACAGCTGGATTTCATAATAATGAGGTAGTACCTTGATCTTTCATTGAACTTAAGGCTTCTTTTTTGTGCTCTGCCAAGAGCAAAGCAAACAGACAAGCTCTTACTCAGTATAAGCTAGCAAAAAATTGCCATGAACATCCCAAAATGCTAAAATGCAAGTTTTCTTTCTTGGCATTAATTCTTTTCCTTATGAGTAATACTGAAGCTTCTAGCATTTGAAAGGTGTGAAGAGAGGGCATTTCAAACTGAGGGGTTTTGAAATAGGTATTAATGGAGAGGGAAGGGAAATTGGGCTTGCAAGAGGAAACCACAAGGTCATGTTGCTGCTGGGAGATCCTTGTCTGACCAAAAAAGTAGGACCAGGGATATTGGATGTAATCTCTCATCTTCCTTGTGTGCTAGCCACCACACCTTGTGGAGTGACTAGTGTGTCACACAAATGAGCAGACTCCAGTGTAGGAGTAGTTGGCACTAGAGCAACTTTAATAACAGGAGCATTTCCAAACATGCCAAACTTTGTCATCTAATGCCATTTTCTCTCCTCTGGCTTTCAGTAATGTCCAGGTCAACAAACTTTTTAATGCAGATTTTTGAAATTCTATTTGGGTAAATAGGACAACACAAATGGATTCCTAAAACATGAAATTTGACTCTAGCAGCTTACTTATTTCAGCACAGCAAAGTGTTTTGCTCTGAGAAGCTGGAGGTTAGCAAAGACTTAAAATGATACCCTATTAGTTTATCTGGACAGACAATTTAATGAACGAGCTGTAGTCCGACAGCTTTACACCTGCGGACTTCATTGCTCTGTTGAGATTACTTTGCAGTGCCAATTCACTTTGCAAGACAGAGCTAATAAACAAACATAAAAACCAATACATACAACCCACTCTTTTATAATTTATTTCAAAAAAGTTTGATAATTCAATATAAGGAATTTTCCTCTTGAAATGCGGTTATACAAATTTGAAAAATATTCTTAAAATGGAGTTAAGAAAAGTGATTAGGCAAATTAGCAAAGAAAAAGTTGTCTTAACTTATTTAGTTCAAAGAACAGCTTCTGACTTGGGAAATGCTAGTGAGACAGCAAAGTATTCCAGGGAAGCATAACTCCATGCTTGCTCAGTTCTCATACCCTTCCCCAGACTTCTGCCATGACCCACTTTGGAGACAGGACAGTGCAGCATATAGACCTTCATAACAGCTGTAACAGATCAAACATACATTTGGAGCATATCTAGCTTGTCTCCTAGAGAGGCTGTTTTGTAATAACTGTCTTGTAAAGCCTGTTATTAAAAAAAATCTGGAAATTTCACAGAATGAAATATATTCTCCTGGTAGACGTGTATGTTTCCTGTAACTCAGGTTCTGCATACAACCTGAACACATACCCCTTCAGCAACTGAAAGGGAACAAAGAACACCAAGTTAATTCCAATTTGAAGTAGACCTAAATGAAAATGAAGTAGAATTGAATAATTGCTTTGATATTTTAAACACTTAGGAGTAAACACAATGTGAGTAATTTCTAACTTTAATGAAAACTACATTTGAAAGAGCCTAGCATACACAAGGAGGGCTGAAATGTCCAAATTAGATGCAAAGAAAATCATGTCTTGTGCCATGCCATGATGGCTGCTGGAGACAGCTTCTGGATTTCGCTACACCAACACTGCAAAAAAACATAGGGGGAGGCATAAAAAGAAAGTGCACTCTCTCTGCGTCCTTCTGTTTGGGAAGAGGATTAAGGCATTCAGAAGCACCGTGGCTAAAACTGGATGACAGCTGCTGCTTGCTTTGATGTACAGCAGTGGGGCTTTTGCAGTGCAGTGATACGGTTTGTGCGTGTTTAGGTACTATGAACAGATTTCATAATACATGCAAAGCTGATACAACAGCAAAGCCTGCAACGGCACCAATTCAGACCTGTATTTCAGTCTCTCGGCTCCTTATTTAGGAGTCGTGATCAAAACCACATTTATTCAGTGTCTGTCAGCATCACAGACTCTTCTTGCTGAAAGACAAAGCAGCAAACACCTTAACTGAGAAACTTTGCTTTGACTTGCATTAAAACGGAAAACATTCAGCACTTTCAGTGGTACTGGTTTAACCAAGGATCTTGTAAAACCACACAAGTGCCATATGAGTATCAAACAAAAGTCACAGAATCAACAATGCTACTTCACATGGACAAAACTACTAACACAACTTCACACAAATAAAACTTGTATGTCTGTGTAACTTTAAACGTAATATACAAGGTTAAACAGTCAGCTCATTGCAGCTTAAATGCATGAGTGCTGTCACTTTGCCTGTAATACAACTCAAATACAAATGAAAAAGGAAAAGCTTTTCACAGCTGAATGGATGACTTGATAAATATGTTGGGGTTTGAGTTGGATAATCAGGGACTATCACTTTCTTTTTTTTTTTTTTAAAGCATCAATTATTTACAAAGAAGTCACTGCTTCTAAACTGCACTGTTTGCTGTTTTCACACAAAATAAATACTTCTGGCACCTAACAGATGACAAGCACTAGCAATTACATTTATACACAATTATATTTGAAAACTGAGGTATAGTTGGAAAAATAAGGGTAAGAAGGGACTTAGCAAGACTCTTTTAAACCACAGAGTTGTATGTTGGCACACCAAAACACCTGCACAATGCTGAAATAAGTGCCAGCACTAGTGATCTTGCTTGATTCAGATGCTAAAAAAAACAATTTTATTTGTTCCCAATTTATTTAAATTTTGGCGACGGACCTGATCTTTGCAAATCAATCAGTGACTAAATAACTTAAAAAAATAAACAAGGAAGTCTGCATTATTATGCTTTACACCTTCTCACCAAGTTCTTTTGAAAGTCATGGCTTCAGACCAAAAAACCACCCATTTCCCACAGACTGAACTCGTACTCTGCTGTGCTTAAACCGTTAGTGAAAGGGGAATTTTGTCTCACCAGAAGTGAATATTCTTTCAATTCCTACACCAGTATGGACTTGTATTATACTGTTCTTTTACAAGAAGTTGCGATAAAGTTGCTGCAACACTTAGATTTCAAATATGATGTAAAAACAATATCCTCACACCCCTTTTACACACATAGTAAAAACAAACCCCAAACCATTCAGATTATTTTTATACACAAACATGCACGGAACTTTCCATTCCATATATCTTCCTCCAAGACATTAAGGCATGCCTCTTTGAAAGGGGTTCATTAGGATTTTACGTCTTTTATATGACACAAATTACATCCTTCCAATAAAGACTGTCAATTTAACATTCTCAAGAACTTGCCAAATTTACAGCCTTTGCACAGGAAGCAAACATGTTTGAGACTTGCAGAGGCTTTGCAGAGGTTTGAGACTTGAGTGGAATTACTGTAAGTATTTAATTTATCTCTTTTTTCTTTTTTTTTTTTTTTTCCAGAGAGGAATCCTTTTTTCCCCTCGACATCCCTACCTCTCTGCCTCTTTCTGAAGCGTAGATGAGGACAGGCAGGATCCACACGCCATCCCCCCGCACACACAATAGGGCACTGTCTGAGCTTTCATCCCTTCCTAGGCTTTGCCTCAATTTTCAAACAAAGCAACAAAGCCTAAGGACAGGCTTGTACTTACAGCAGCAAAGGGCTTTTTTTCAGCTCAAATAAATGCCTGTCCCTCCCTAAACTTCTCCCTTCCTCCAAAAGCCACTCACAGGGTTTATATCCCTAAACTGGGATTAAAGACGCCGTAAAGCTCCAGCTCCTAAGGTGAGTCAACCAACTTTGAACTTTCCCACAGGGACCTCAGATATGGCAACCAGTCACAACAATATTTGCATTACTTCTGCACTGTCTTTTATGAATCCTAATACTTTTTTTTAATTAAAAAATTATACTACAGTTACTATTTTTAAGCGCTCCCATTTCTTGCCAGCAGACCTCCACCACACCTCATGAAGGAGAACCTCTCTGCCTCACGGTAACAGCACTGAGAGCCCGGAGCTGGCATTCTCCATGGCACTTCTTAGGGCAGAGCTCCTCTCCGCCACCAACTCTGCCACCACCCCTGGTATGAGGCAGCACTTAGTCAATCTGCAAAGACTAACCTGTCCTACTGCTGACTTTAAATTAGCCTGCCAGGAGCTCCAAGCTGTGCTTCTGGAATCATGACACACAGCATTAACTTATCCATGGGCACCCTTGAAGTCAGGAGTTACGTATCTCAAATTTTCTGTGGTGCATTAGGAGAAGACACACAGAAACACACAAGTTTTTTTGTGCTAAAATTCTGTAATAGAGTCCAAAATACAGGCACATTAAAATTTTACGTAAACTCAAGTCTTCCTCTCCGGCCAGATGACAAAGGGGGCAAGCTATCACCCTGGT